TAGACGTAGCATACATTGACATCAGTAATGCTCTTGACAAAGTGCCCCACAACCGGCTGTTATATAAGTTAAGAAATGTCGGGGTTGGAAGTAATCTATTGGTGTGGATAAAAGTTTTCCTGTTGAGAGACAACAAAGAGTACGGGTGAACTTCAAGTTGCCTAGCTGGGAAACTGTGTTTAGTGGAGTGCCTCAGGGCACAGTTTTGTGGCAAGTGTTATTCCTCTTAAATGCAAATGATATTCCTAGTCTTCTACATTATCGGTTTTGTTATAAGCTGACGATGTCAATATATGAAGAGCGACAAAAACAAAAGGTGATGGTTTAGAGCCTCAAAGTGATCTGGAAAAGGTACACGAATGGTCTAAAATTTGGCAGTTGCCGATAAATGCCCTCAAGAGCATTGTGATGCATATTGGTCATCAAGGTACAAATACAAACACACAGTAAATGACGTTGAACTACCTGTTATCCAGATACAGAGTTACCTAGGAGTAAGCAATAATGAAGACTTAAAAACTACTGAACATTGCTATGCGATATCCGCCAAAATTTTTATCACCTTATGGTGGTAAGCTGTTAGAATGAGCTTAAAGAACTAAAAGCATGGTGTTTCCCGGAATAGCAAAGCTCTCATATGTCCCTCGACTGGCTGAACATGACCTTGTGGTGGACCAGACAAATATGAACGCAAAAATTATAAACAAAGTTACTAAAGATCAATAGAAATATTAATATATACAGTTAATTGTTACAAATACAATTAAAATTAGGGACGTTACTTAAATTGACCAAACGCTGCGTGTTCTGATTATGTCCGGTAATGTACATCCACAATTATAAATGTTTGATAATTCCAAGCAGGTTGGCGAACTCTCTGGTGATATAATCCCACGTAGAATGTGATGTATTCCAATTACAGTCTATAAATAATGATAATATTTGATTTAGAATTCAGCTAATTCAATCACAAATGGAAATAGAACGAGGGATGTGTGAGTAGTAATGTATTTGTTAGCCAGTAAGTATATGTCACGCTATGTTCGAATTACAGCGGAAAAAGTGTTCAAGGTCATTGAGTAAAACAACACGTACAGTCATTTAATGATGAATGTACATACAGTGAAAAATTGACAAAACAAATACAAATAATATTAAAAACCATTTACAAAATAAGCTTGTCAGTCATATCTCCACATAGCTCCCCTCAGAGTGTCTGGAGGTAACACTGGTTACAATAACAATAAGAAAAATTTTTATACAAAAAAAATTAATATTTACAATAATAACCAATTACCAATGTGGAGATGCGTGTGACATGTACGTTAATAATATACAGTGTGTTATTGTGTGAAAATAGTGATGATATGGCATAGCATGACAAACAAAAGTAATGAGAATACCGTCATTTAAAAGCTTGGTTTGCTAACAATGACACTAATGTACAGAACTGTTACTGAACCCAAAAAAAAATGAACTGTTTATTTTTTTTTGTGTGTGTGTACCACAAATGAATAATTAAATAGAGTTTACTCGTTTATTATTGTAACAAATTTTTTTCTATAAAAAAAATGTGACAAAACGAATAATTGTGGGAAAAAAAAGAATAATTACGTACACTGTTTTTTTTTTTAAAAAAATCATAGATTTTGTTGGGAAAAATCGGGTGACTATAATGGTATAGTACATCGATAATTGTTCGTTTAGGTTTTTTTTTATTCGGCGAAATGTACATAGCGTTTGGGTTTTTTTACAGCTCTGCCTGAGCGCGCTAAACAAGTAGGTTTGATACTCAGTTTTTCTTCCATGTCTGTTGTAGTGGTGGTTGCTGGACGGGGTTGGTTCAGTGAAATAGTATGTTCTTTGTCAAGTTGTGCTTCGTAGAAAGCAGGCTTTATTCTATCGATAGCGATAATCTCTTTCTTTCCGCACTTGTTGATTATGAAGTGTTTGGTCGTTCTTTTAATTACTTGATATGGTCCTTCATAAGGTTGTTTCAATGGCTTTTTAACAGCATCAACTGGCACAAAGACAAACTTGCATGTTTCTAGATTTCTGTTGAGTTGTATTCGATTGTTATGTTCACGAGGCGGTATGGCTTTGATCTGTTGCATGGTCTGCAGCAGTTGGCTAGCTTTTTTTTTTTTTTTTTTTTTTTTTTTTTTTTTTTTTTTTTTTTTTTTTTTTTTTTTTTTTTTTTTTTTTTTTTTTTTTTTTTCAGCGGCTGTACAACCTATATCTTCCTTTATAGTTGGACGGATACCCAGGAGTACAAGTGGTAATGCGTCACTCCATTTTGTCGTATGGTTTTGTGCCATCAGCGAGCTTTTCAATTGGCGGTGAAATCTTTCGACCAAGCCGTTAGCTGCTGGGTGGTAGGCTGTTGTTTTGATGTGGTTCACGCCCAGAAGTCTTGTGAATTCCTGAAATAAGATAGACTGAAACTGGGGGCCACGGTCGGTAGTGATGATGGGAGATACTCCATAATTTGCTATCCAGCGGTCAAGGAATACGCTGGATACTGTTTCTGCAGAAGTATCAGCAATAGGGCATGCTATGGCCCATCTTGTGAACCTGTCCACCGCAGTGAGAATATGAGTGAATGAATTAGATGGTGGCAATGGACCAACTATGTCTAAGTGGATATGCTGAAAACGTTTTCCCGGCAGGGGATACTTGCCAACTGGACTGATCGTGTGCTTCTGAATCTTGCTGCGTTGACATTGTAGGCAGCTTCGCGTCCATCGTTTTATATCTGAATTGATTTTTGGCCACACAAAACG